TTTTTTTTTTTTTTTTTGCATTTCTCGATGTTTCAGGGTGCGGTAAGTTCAGAAATGTAAAAATCTTCTGGAGTTGATTATATGACTGATTACTACTCTTTCTCGGTGTTATATATAACAGCCAGGAAAGTAAAAATACAGTGGTACCTCAGGATACGAAATTAATCCGTTCCGAAACTGAGATCGTATCGTGAAAATGTCGTAAGGTGAGTCATTTTTCTACATACGATTACATGTAAAACCAAATAATTCGTTTCAACACGAAAAATACACTCAAATTAAAGCTAAGAAGTACATTAAAACAAAATAACTATAGTAAGGAAAACACCGAAAAATGCGTTTTGTAGTTGTAAATGTATAAATAACCGTAATAGAATAATAATTGATAAAAAAAATATAGTTTTATTTGCTCTTTACCTTTGAGGATAGCCGACGGTGGAGGTGTAAACTGGTGGCAGAAGGGAGGGAGAAGGGAAATGATACTAAAACTTAACGTATATAACATAATGTAACAATAACTTAAAAATAACTTAGAAAAGATGAAAACAATTAGTGTTGTTTTATATATATTTTTTTTAATTTTTATTCACTGATTTTTGTTTTCTTTCCTTCACTTCCACCAGCACTTTCACTGGATAGAGGTCGCTTAGTAAAATATCTATCCAAAGATGTTTGGCTTTGCCTACTTTTTAAAATGTTTCTTAGGCAAATGTCATTACTCCGAGCAGCAATACGGCCAGTGTGAACCTTTTCGGGATGTTTCTTTTCAATAAAATTAGTTACTTTCTGATAATATTTCGAGATTTCCTTTATCGAGCGAGATCCTTCCACGACGAAGCAAACGCGCGGACTGAGACCAATGAACAGAAGTGAATAAAAAATGGCGCTGCGAACTAATGTAACGTCGTATGGTGAGTTTTTGTTCGTATCGTGGAGCAAAAATATGTTCGAATTTCATGTCGTATCCTGAAAATTTCGTATGTTGGGGCATTCGTATCCTGAGGTACCACTGTAATGAGATGGATGGACTGAGACTTCTGTTCTGTCAAAAGGTATTGGAACTATTAATACGGTAAAACCGCTGTACTTTTGTACATTATTTTGTACAAAATTCTAAATATACAATAAGTAGATTTTTGTATGATGTATAATTTTTTTGATGATTTTGATTTTTTTAATAGATGTATATGTATATTACAGTAAATAATCCCTATCTGTCGAAAAGAAAATCAATTATTGCGGAAAGTCCGTTATATTGAGAATGTTTTTTAGAACATACTTGCCATTCGAGCGTAAAGACAAATTGTAGCGATCACTGATTAGATAATCAGAAAACTTAAATTACACTTCAATACAAATTCGGTGATTTTACGATAATTTCATCTATAGAGGTGATGTAAAGGTGGTCTCATATTTTTCATGGAGAGACGGTGAAAGAAGCGAAATTTGACACGGTGGCTTGTTTATAAAGGTATTAATGCTATTTCGCCCACCAGTGGCCGAGCGGTCTTGGTACCCTAAACACTGGGAGTTGGGTCGTGGGTTCGCGCCGCGATCTGACAGACTGGCTGCTTGGAGTTTTCCGGGTTTTCTCCTTGCCGATAACGACTAAATAGGAGGCCAGTTCCCCATAAAAGTCTTCCCGGAAGGCATTCTTTCCCCTCGCGTAACATCCCGCCCCAGAGAAGGCAACGGGAAACCACTCTGGGTACTAACCTTCCCTAGTAACACCTTGGCGTATTATTAACTGCTTACTAATATGCGCCGGGTGTCGCCAACATCAAAAATCTGATATGGCACCAAGAAGAAGAAGAAGAATTCTATTACATTTTGGTGATGAGAGGTCGAAAGGGTAAGGAGATAGAGAGGATTCATATGTCACTGTCCTAATACTCTATACCGTATAATGGAATACGAGTGTAATCCAAATCAGTGTTCTTTGCAGCTGACTTAGCCTCATATCCAGTATGCCAGTATGCCCAAGAACAAATATAGAAGTTATCTTATTTACATAATTTTTAATGTGGTGCTGGATATATGCGATTTTATTGCTATTTTAGGACAGACTGAGAATCACTGTAAATGTTGATAGACAGAGTTTTGTTTGGTAGTGAAGTGGCCCACTGAACAGGTTGGTAGTCAGCATCATCTTCAGCTTGATAGATGGAGATATGTGGGAGGTATCTGTACCTTCTAACATATTTTTGGCAAAATATGGCAGTTTGGAGTAAGATACAGATACTTGAGCCGACAAGAAGAGAGATTTTGGACCCATCTGTGTAGATATTAATGTCTGCATGATTATCCATGGAGGAAGCAGTTGACGCCAAATAACCTTGTTTACAGGATGATGATAAGAGATTTTAGGGTATTTGCAATGCGGTAGCGTATGAACAGCCGTAGATAGGAGTAGAAACCATTGTTTAGCCTTGACGTTTGTAGTTCTGATGTAGTAGTTTAGAACCTTTTCTACAATACGTAGTGGCAAAGGAAGGAGCTCCGCTAGTATAAGAGAGGCATTAGTAAAAACAGTTCTGCAGCACTTCGAAATTCTGGTGGCAAACTGGCTTTGAAGAGAGATTAATTAACTTGCTACTGAATTTTTACCAGTCACATGACCACAACCAGAGGCTGCGTAAAGTAGCATTG